TTTTTTTTTTTTTTGCAAATCAGAAAAAAAACGAAGAGGCAAATCCGAGAACCAACAAATTAAATTGGTGTGGCCTTAGCTGCCCACCCATGAAGGGTGGCAGCTATTCTTCCAGGAGAGGGTACATGAGACATAACAATACATCACATACAATTATAATACATTTACATGTACATTAAACAAATGTGCAACATTGTGCTTTACTTATTCATGTCCCTCATGTGCTTTAGTAGGCCTTGTTTGAACTTCTCATGTGATGACACTGTTTGCAGCCCATGTGGTAGAGAGTTCCATGCTGCAGTAGTTCTGTATGTGATTTGGCTTTTTTAGTGCTGTTTGTTTTTGGTTTGTCTAGTTTGAAGGTGTTCCGAGTAGCTTATCTGGTTCTGTAAGTGTGTTGATGTGACACCGAGTTGATTGTAGAGTATGGCTTGTTGTTCGGAAGACAGGGTTTTTTTGAAAGTGCACATGTTGTTGATGCTAAGGCACTATTTGTTTCCTTATTGGCCTGTATAATACATGTAATTGTCTTCACTACATTAAATGTATGAACTACAAATTCCGTTAGTCGCTGACGAAAAGTTGTGGATGCCATTTGGAACGTCTGACGTTTTCAAAACCTACGTATCCAGTTGCTTGAATAACAATTTCCTTGTATTTGTCACCACCTGGGTGTCCAACCTTCATCGACATAGAGTTATGACTTTGATTTTGAAAAGTTTAATTAATATGCGGTTGTAGTGAAAAAAGTTACAGTTGATACACAGTCCCAGTGCTGATACAAAAACAGCTTGCTTGGTCAGTTTTGCCATTTATTGCCTACTACATATAACATCTGTGTCCATAATATCACCAGGGTCCATAATATCGCCACCTTGAGAAACAGTGTGCTTAAAGTCATATTTTTACTGCAACATACTTTTGGTATGCACTCCTTCACACATCAAATGTACATACCTAGGGTATGTTGCAGTAAAAATATCTTTAAGCACACTGTTTCTCAAGGTGGCGATATTATGGACCCTGGTGATATTATGGACACAGATGTTAACTACATAATAATGTAACAGTGGATCTGACATGTGCTGAATATAAACAAAGAGTAATAACCAATAAAAGCACACCTGTGCTCCTCCTCCTTGAAACTGTGGAATCTTACAGGTGGCATCAGCTGGACTCCATTCCAGGTACCTTTTGAAGCACTCTTCAGGGTTATGTACATCAAGGTTGGTCTGTCCACGTACAATACCACTGCAGGTGCATTAAGGAAGACTTAGTGTACATCATGAATAATGTACCATTGGGTTGAAGTAGTCTAACTTAAAGATACTTTTTTAATAAGAAGAGAGGGTTAGAAACCAAAAAGAAGAGAATATTCTTTGAAGCTAACTTTGTGTAGGTGTTCTCTCCTATTATGATGCTAGTCAACTTTTTTTTTCACTTCATTTCCAGTGAAGCAGTTTTCTATCATGATTAATTACTTGTCTCATAACAATGATCAAAGAGATTCAATTTCTATGGCTAGGAGTCATGATAAGTTGTCTCTTCTAAATGGAACATGACAAACTTTGAAAAGGAACTACTGGCTTAATTTTGATGCATTTTGTGTACCTCAAAGTTAAGAATTTTTGGTGACCCTGAGCCTGAGGTTACCGTAGGTGGTTTCTACATTGATGATAGTGACCAGTGAATAGCACATTGAGAATACTACAGCTTTGTAAAAAACCCTACTCACCCGATGCCATGCAGGACCAGCCCGATGAAGAAGATGATGAAGAGGTGATGTGTGTACCAGAAAACCTCAAAGTAAGACCTCCTGTATGTCAAAGAATAATATCATTTCATCAGACTGGTAGAACGTATTCATTGGAATTTTCTTCTCCCCACGCTTACATTTGGATGTCTATCAGACACCTTCCTCAGAGCTTCTGACTGGAGTGCTGTTTCTCGCCAAAGTACATGTAGGTGGCACTTTTGCAGCGAGAACACAATCCCAGGACAAGCTAGGATACGAGCTTATTTGGGATTGTGTTCTTGCCCACAAAAGCGCAAACTACTTTGGCTACATACATGGATAGCGACCAGAAGCATAATGTACATTAACTCATTCAGAAGCTCTGAGGAAGGTGTTTGATAGACATCATCAGGTACATCATACCGTACATGTAAACAAACATGAGATTCTGTCTTAAGTTTGCAGTCCATTATACAGAAACCCAAAACATCTGAGCCTTGTTTTGGGGTGAAAATTGTACTAAATTTTGTAGTAAATAAAAAAAAAAATAAGAAAAGCACTCTGGTTACGTGAAAGAAAAGACCTAAAGAAAAATATGGGGTGGTGAAACTTATCATTTTCTAATAATTGCACAAAAAATCTTTGTGCGATTTTAATTTACTTCCAAAATAAATTACAATCACACTTAGATTAGATTTCTGTCAATCGAAAAATTTAAATTCTTGGCGCAAAAATGTTACATAATGCCCCTTTACTAGTCAGGTCAGAGACACAAAAGCAGACAAGATGACACCTGACCTGATGACTTCAGTAGATGATGACACCATGACAATAAGTGCCAGTGTGATGACCACACCTGTCACACCTGCGATCGTCTTCAGACCTTCTATAATGGGATCCTGAGAAAAGGCAAGGTGGAGTCTTAAATATGAGCAGAAAATAGTTTTTAAAAGATGAATATTCACAAATCATACATTTATTTATAACTTATAAAAAAATTAAAGTCAAGAAATCTACATGGCCATGAAGGTTGTACAAATGACTAAACACACAGGGTATGGTATGGTGAATAATAGACTCTTCATTAAACATTTCTCCACATTTTCTTCCTTTCCTTTGGAATTGACTTTGGCATTTTGCGACAAATAGTATCATGTTCCAAGTTTTTGTTGCAATTTACAGCATATATTTGTTCATTTTAGAGCTGCATTGTACAATGTACTGTATGGTCCAAAACTTTTTTTCTTTGAAAATGGACGAAATTTGATGCACGCACAGATGTCATCCATATAATCAAATAAACATGGCCTGAGCTATGAGAGATTTATGACCAATTTAATTTGTTGTTTCTTGGATTCGCCCTGTCCAATTTTTTCTCATTTGCATAAAAACAAAAATTGGGGGGTTCTGAATCAACTGTAAAATGCTCACATGAAAGACATTTTGGCCCCAACGGTTGAAAAAAGTCCTTTCAATGTAACAGTGCAATTTTGTTTCATTAAAAGTTCAAAATCTATTGTTTTAATCATAAACCAGCCTGGTATGTTCACTTCAATTCATGGCTCATATTGTAACATTTCCAGCTATCATGGGGTGCCTTGGTCTGTTTTTTTTTTAATTTTGCCCTGTCGCTCCATATTTTTTCTGAAAAAATCTGAGAAACAAAAATGTGGCCTTACCGAGTTAGACAGCCTGATGGGATTGATGTAGGTGGAGTTAACTCCATCCTGCAGACTGGTGAGTTTGGCGATGAGATTTTCCGTGTCGTTACCGTAGAAGAAGAAGGGCAGGTTGTACGGGTCAGTCTGGGCAGCAACCAGCAGCTCCAGGTTGTAGCAGTGAGCACCAAAATGAATAGCTGCAGGATATAAAATAGACTGAAATTATAACACCACTCCTGAATACATATTTTAACCTAGAATGAAAAAATTCACATTGAAAGAAACGGTGTCACTGGGACCTTCTAAAGAATGTTCTGACTGAACACCTATTAAGTTAAAGGCATCCGATGCAATTTCAGAATCAAACAAAAAATAATAATTAATATTTCTGGATGAAGAAATTTGTATGATATTGACATTAACTGCCATTTCTTTGCACATTTTCGTCACCATGTTATACTTTTTAAACAAAAAACAAGCTTATAATAATGCTAGGAGCCCCTTTCTTTTTGATGCCACCACTAAATACCTAATGTAACATGTAATGTTACAACCAGCCTATGATAAAAAAACAAGCAACTTTCCTCTGTCAGTGACATCCTATTTTCGTCTCACAGATGCATGTACATGTATCTAACCGTATGCTATGGGATAGGGTAGATTTAAGCTAATACATTGTACAAACATTTAAAAATGACCATAAAATTGACTTTGATAATTACTTCCCTGAAAATATTCTTGCAATGCATTTCTGGAATGTTTATCAATCTATAATACATCTTCAAGATTTATCACATCATCTGTGTTGAAGTTTGTCCTATGGTTGGTTGTGAAATGACATGTTTTACCGGGCTCTAATTGATCTGGAGGGTACTTGGGGGGAACTACCAGAAATATTGGTGCTGCAAACTCTGTGTTGTCAAATACAAACAATTACTGATACTTTTCAGGATTCAGAAAAGTAATATCTAAAAAGCAGAACACTTTGAATCTGCTGTTGAGTCCCCCTTGTTGATCCCACCACAGTTATGCAGGATAGTAGGGGTACTTCCCTGGGTGGATAAAACCTTATAGTACATTGTACTTATACTGCATAAAATTGTACAGGACTGGTGTGTTATGCCTTAAGGCAGTCTTCTGGTTATGTGAAACAAACAAGCAAACAAGCAGTCAGGGGTAGACATTGGGATTCAAGTTTATATCCATAGGCTAATAGATTAAAAATCATCCTGATTGAAGAGGACATGTTGGTGGCTTAACATTTATTTTTAAATTGAAATTAAAATTGTATTCCTGGTTGTATTGTACTGTACTCTTGCTTTGCAGCTTGTGGGCTGAACTGTGAGAAGCATGTAAGCCCCAGTGCAACAGGGTATAAACTTAAGGTGTTTTTTATTTGTGTTGTATCCTGTTGCACTGGGGCTTTAATCTGAGGCACAAAGGTCTGAAGCAGCTCCCATTCAGCATAGCGTTTTCATCCACAAAGTCACAAAAAAGTGTACGCCTATGTTGTTGAAGGTTAGACATCTAGGTAATAAGATACGCCAAAAAAGAAAAGCTTTTAAAAAAGCTGGCCCGGCCGCAAAAAAAGAACCAGATGAAGGCATCACCAACTTGAAAGAGCCTTAATTTTAAAAAGCTGGCATTTCGGCATTGTTAAATTAAAATAATGCCGACAGCGGGATTCAATCTGGTGAACTTAGCTTTCCAAGACATGTAAGACAAAGCATCGTTATTGCGTTCTCTGCCAAAGTACAAAACAAATTGACATTCCTGAGTAAGAACAATTAGTTTTTGAATGTTGCAAGCAAAACAATGGATGTTCTCAACAAAAACCCCTCTACAGGGACAGCAACCCTAAGTACAATTGGTATGAATTTCAAAAAGTACCAGTGATTTACAGAGTGCAAGTTGGCTGGAATTGAACCTGTCAAATTCACTGGTCAGGAGTGGGATAATAAGTTGGAGATGGCAGGCTGACCAGGTTTAACTGTGCCAGGTCATCAGCTTTAGTTAGGAACATCCTTTTGGATGGGAAGTATTTATTATAATAAGCCTGTATCTGTGCATGAATATGTATGTGTACATGAATCTGTATCTGATTGCAAAATAAAGATATCGAATGATTGCCATAGAAAGCCTGAGAGGCCTAGGTCCCATATTTGAGGAGAGCTCTTAAAACCTCATCGATCAAGCATGTCAAAGACTCCACCACACCTATCATGATCAATAACAGTAGGGTTCCTTCCAGGTGTGAGTGGATCAATCTAACTTACAATCTGTTGTTTGTAAGCTGATATCTTGCAAAAGAATTGACAGCCAACAGTTATGTCCATAGTTCTACAAATGTGGTGAATCTCAATAAAGAAATAAGTTTCCTCACCTGTGTGGAGACATATCATGTAAGCCACTGCTCTGTGAAATGTTATGTTCTTGTCCAACTGCCGACGGATGCTGCGCCGACAACACTATGGTATGGAGAGAAATGCATTCAAAGTGACTGACTTTGACTATATCTACTGTTACTTAAAGCTGTGAGCTTGTATTCAGAGACAAATGTTGTCACAGGAACATTTGTGAACTTCTTTCCACCTCACTTTAAACCAGGGCTCTACTAGTAGCCAGATCGAATTTTTTTTCGTAAGGCCACACCAATTTAATTTCTTGGTTAACGGATTCACCGCTTCATTTTTTTCTGATTTGCAAATAAAAGTAAAAATTCAGAATCAACTGCAAAATGCTCATATTTTGTCCTGAACAGTTGAAAACAGTCCTTTTCATCCTAGTTGTTACAGTTATTCCATCTTTCAATGCAATGGTATTATGAAAAGTTCAAAATTCATTTTTCAAATTTTGAACCAGTCTGGTGTGTTGACTTCATGGCTCCTATCAAACCATTTTGGGCCATAATAGGATGCCTAGGCCTGTTTTTATTTTTTTTATTTTTTTCGCCCGCCCGCTCCATTTTTTTCTAGAAAAATCCGTTAACCAAGAAATTAAATTGGTTTGGCCTAAGCCCTGATTCATGGGTGGGGTGATTCATCTGATTTGGGTGGGGGAGCACCGTAGGCGCGGTGCTGTCAAAGTCCGAGGCACGCTCCCCCTGTAATCACTCGCACTCACTGGGTCGAGCTTCCCTCGGTTCCCCTGCAATAAGCCTCCAAAAGGCAAATCATGGGGTTAAGAGTGATTATCGCTTGTCCTTCGAATATTTTCATATTCCTACCCACATTTTTTGTTGATTTTTTTCCATCAAGGTTGTTGGATTGCTTCTAAAATTTTTCTATCACATAGATAAGAGGCAAGGGTAGGTAAGGGAGACAGTACCTGCAATTAACCTACCTTTATTTGAGAAATATTGCATTACTGTGCTTGTAAAACTAAAATTAGAAGTAAAACTAATAATAAGATTTGGTTTGACTTCTATATTGAATTCTAACCTTGTGTTGAAAACCCTCATGCCCTGGGGCAGGATTATGCACCCCTAGCCTAGTTAGCATATTCACCTGCATGACATGGCACCCTTCCAAACAATGAAAACAAACAGTTGCGCTTGACAAACAGGCAACTACTTTGTTCTGTAAACTCAGGTGACTGCCTCAGGACAATAGGTACCAGACACTAGTATCACCTGATGTTTCCTGTCGTGACTTTTCAGGGAAAGTAATCAGGACTCGAAATTCATTTTTGGGAATAGGTGCACTGGTGCACCCAAGCTAAAAAATTAGGTGCATAAAAATATTTTAGGTGCACCATATACGGTAAAATAACTAGAATGTCTGCAAAAACTATAATTATGTTTCATTTTCCAGAAAAGTACCAAAACAATAATTGTATCATTTTTTCTGACACTTGGATGTTAAGAATATGCTGTAACTACTATACATTTAACATCTTTACACCATTAAACCTACTAGTAAGAAAATATTTGGGTGCACCAAATTTGGGTGCACTAAGGTGCACATTCATCCAGTATTTTGAGCCCTGGTAATGGAGCCTGTAGGCAAAATATCATTCTGCTGTGCATAACAAATACTCACTGGACAGGCATTTGTGACATCACCGTGTTACTACTCTCTTACTGCTTTAGTACATGTACAGTACAGAAACTTCTGATGCATTAAATAATAAATCCCAGGAACAAAATTTGAACATAACAGCTTACCATTAAAGATATCAAATCTTCAAATATCAAATTCTTCAAATATTTCAAATATCAAATCTGAACAAGTAGGAAGACATTATACAATGATTGTATACTTGTTGCAATTGTTGTCCCCGTGTAGACCAATATACATATTGATTATTTGAGATTGATATGTCTGAAGAATGTGTGATTTAGAAATACAATTTTCTCTACACGGGAACAACATTTGGGGGCCCGCAAGCCCTTTTCCGTATAGCGTAATTGGCCGTTTTAATTCTACGTAAAGCGTAGATGGACCGCTCTTCGCATTTTGCGTAGAGCGTATTCCCCATTTTAATTCTACGTAATGCATTGTAGACGCTTGGAATTTAGCGTAAAGCGTAATCAAGAGGTTTCCGAATTCAGTGTAGAGCGTTGTAGGGACCCCCCCTTGCAGGCCCTCACATTTGAACACCACCAGGTGAAGCGCATTCCTAATGTCCCTCTGAGGTGTTAGAAGTGCAAGAAAAATACTCCCGACCTTTTAAAAAAATTAACTCTACATTCAAACTGAGTATAAAATAAAATTTTCATCTCAACAACTCCAAGCACACAATTTCTCTACTGTTAACTATATCAATGACCTTATAGGTTTTGAAACATTTTTTTTCTCGGGTTGCCCTTGCCATTTTTTTTCTAGGTAGAAAACCTGAGCCAAAAGCTAGGTTGCCCATCATTATTTCAAGTTGCCGTCAACACCGGCTGTGTATTTTGAAAGGCAACTGATAAGTTAGGCCACCTGTAACTGCTCACATGCTGGGTGAGGCAGTACACGGTTTATTTCAGTGTAACTTTTAAGTTTTGTGCTCAGGGCCTGAAATAAAGTGGGTACTTCAAACGAGCACATCGGTAGAATGCACTGCGCCTGCACAAAACCCCCATTTCTCACGGTTTTCGTTGAATTTTTGGTCAACATTGCATCAGAATTTTGCCAGTTGCAGACGATATCTCTTCTGACATAACATTTGAAAACTAACAGACAGGATGTTAAGCTTATATATGCGAGTACGGCCTTATATGAGACGTTCTTTTGAAGTGCTATGCACAATACATTGCGGGTTTTGCGCCAGGTACAGTACGTTCTGCCGAATCGGATGTGCTAATTTCAAACCCTGTCTAAGGCCACACCAATTTATTTCCTTGGTTAACGGATTCGCCGCTTCGTTTTTTTTCCAAAATGAAATAAAAATAAAAACAGAACAAAAATCCATACTCTCGGGTCCCAAATAAACGTTTATTTTTGGGCCCAAAAATCCACCCGGTACGTTGTAATTTTTCAAACTTTCGGCATAGTTAACAGCGTTAAAAATACATTGCTTCAAGGTAGAAACATTTTCTGACTGCAGTTTGTTCGGAAAGCTAGGTTGCGTCTTCAAAAGTTCGTCAAATTCTTTTGATATAGAATTCGCCCCCCACCCCCTTTGCACATGTCACCATTAGTCACCATTCATGGGACAAAACTTCACTGACGACAAACGTACGGCAGATTTACTAAGTCATCGTACCTGTAACAACATATCGTCTCCCTTTTAGATATATATTATATTTAGGAACACGTATTGTGTCGGAAACATGTGCTAGAAACGGGCGTTAAAAATCGGCCGAACTCGGCCTGGGCGGCACATGCACACACACCTTCAAAACGATCTTTTTTTTCCAGGGAAAATGTAAAAAAATAACACGACATAACAATGTATTCTGCCATCACTAACTGTATTACTCTCAAAAAGTACAAAATCCTACCACAAACATGGGAATTTGGCAAAGTAAAAAGTCCTCCATACACGTAAGTCCATTCACTAAAGCAACAGTTACTTTTTCTCACGGTCGGAAGAGTCCACTTTGAGTAGGGGGAAACAGGTACTTTTAATTATAGAAATTACTCTGTGAAAAAATACTACATGTGCATGTGGCATTCTAACAAAGTTACATCTCATTTACATACCTATAAACAGGAGTACAATTGCAAATAATGCATCAATTATTACATCTAAATTTTTTCAATAAAATGGTTCCCCCTACAAATAAAAAATCCCCATACATCAAAGACTTCATAGTGAAACCCTAGACCATTGAGTTTGTGGCAACTTGAAGAGTGTGTCAATGTGGCTATTTCAGTATTTGTTTGAATTATGGCTATGTATAATCATAATGTAGCTGTAGCATACCTAAAGTGTATAATGGGAAATATCAAATGGATAGTACCGGTAGTATTTGGGAATTGGGGAAAGATAAAAAAGAAATAGAATATCTGTTGAATCAGTTACATGTACATGTAATTCTTTTGCCAATGACTTTTACACATTCCTGCAAGGAGGTTGTATTTAACCTCCTTGATTCCTGGAAATTTGTCTAAAGCAAAAATTTAGGATATTGTAAATTTCAAGCTCTAAATAACTTCCATATCAGCCAGACACAATAGAATTCCCAGCCCAGTGGTAAGCTGTGTGCCCTGAACTCTAAGAAAACAATGGGATCTGAAGAGAGCACCTTGATTTACTTTAAACCACTCTTTGGAACTTTGAAAGATAAATAAAAGTGAAACCTGTTGGATTGGAGTCTTGTCAACAGTTTGTTGTTCATACAGTAAATATAGAATACAACACGGGGTATTCCGTATCGCCCGAGGTACCAGCCCGACCGCGCGTCGGATCGCCCGACGGCCAAAGGCCGGAGGGAGATCTGATCCGCGGGAGGGCTGGGACCGAGGGTGATGCGGAATACACCGTGTTGTATTTTATTTATGTCATACCTACCCAAGAAAACGCGCCTTTCAATGCGAAATGAGCGAAAATTTGGTGTCCCTAAACCCCAAAAAATGCGACAACATCAATCCCAACGTCCGAATTTTGTATTCGAATTTCGAAATCGGTGCACGCGGTTAGGCCGAAACGCGTTCGAATCGTTCTATGGAACATTTGGAAGGCCCGGGCCGTACGCGTTAAGAACCCCCGGGCCGTACCGCTAGTTATCACACGGGCCGGAACACCCGTATCGAACGTAATCGCGGCCCAGGTAGGACATAAAGATGTGTATCTTGCAAAATAATACGAATAATTGTAAAGGGATGTAAGAGAAGTTGCTCATGTAGTAAATGGTCCTTTCAGTTCAATAAGTGTCCAATATAATGTCTTATATCATGTTGTATCTTAACTTAATGGATTGCTTACTACATGTCTGTATGGCAGGTAGTCTCAAATTTTTATTTATTTTTTTTTTCGCCCGCCCGCTCCATTTTTTTTCTAGAAAAATCCGTTAACCAAGAAATTAAATTGGTGTGGCCTAAGAATGAGACCAATGGAGGGTGTATAATGTACATGACATGATAGCCTACCCCACAGGATCCTCGCAGGTAGGAGATGAGGTTCCTGCAGACAGGCAGCAGGATCAGCATACAGTTGAAGTTCAGACACGCTGCAGGGGCTCGTGCCCAGGCTAATCCATGCTGCAATAGGGACAGTAAGGATGGTTATTTGACTTCAGAATCTGTAGTTTGTACATACTAAAAACTACATATATGTGCAAAAACACTGTAACTAGCAAAAAAGATCCTACATGCTGTCACAACACAGCTTTTTAGTAAATTGTGATCAAGATTTACTAATTTACTATTAATGTCAATACGACATGTTTTTTTTCTGCTAATTTCTTTATTCAACAAAACCACAATACGATACACCTTACTTGACAATGTGCTTAATTTTAAGGCTTTTTGTATTTTTTTCATTCTTTACCATTTTTTTCAATTTTTCTGATAGTTACAAAATGTATCAGAAAACAACACGTCATGGCTATAGTGACTATATACAGTTGCTTTTCTTTGCTTTAAGAATTAATTAAAAAGACCATTTTTCTCAAGCCGTGGTGCCGGGTTCTGAACCAACTGCCATGCACTGTGGCATCATCCATAGCAATCAAATTATTTTAATAGAATGAACTGGTTGAATGATGAGCAAATAAGATTTGATGTTCCCTAACATCAGAAGAGTGTATTTTGTCCAAGCTTCTGTTCATTGAATAATGCCTATTGTCTGGAACTCAGTAACACACGGTTGCATTTCATTGTTATCTTGAAAGTTCATCTGTATTGCTCATTCCTTGACAAAGACTTGAGCTGTACAGTCAAACATTTGAGTGAGTCCAATTTGTTGTGTTGGAAATTGCAGTTTAAACTTGCTTCATAAGCATTTCATTGTTATTGCTTTCATGTCGTCTTTACTTTAAATGGTCAATACTTACTCCCAGAAGTAACCTGAGATAGTAGAACTGATTTCCTTGGTGGTAAAACAGGAAGTAACCAACAAACAGACCAATGTTGATCCCAAACCACAGAACCTGCAGACATGGGACAGACAAGAAATGTACAACCGTTACAATTATGCATATGAACATACAGTACTACATATTTGTGAAAAGTCCAATTAGAGAAAAATTGTAACACTGACAGTATGAGTTTTACTTTATAATGTGTGCATCTTTGGTAGGAATACTATTTGGCAGGAATGATACTCTGAAAAGGAGAACAGGGAACAATCTCATCAGCTTGGTGAACAATTGAATAGCATTGTAAGTTATTTTGAATCACTAATATGTTTAGCAAGAGCTAGAAATACTTTACAATTTGGAACTTAATTGTTAGCAGTAGTTACAGCTTTAGTGACAGTAAACCAGTCGTAGCTGCCCTAATGAAAACGACAGGTGGTCATTAAACATTGGCTCTTCAACAAGTGGTTGTGAATAAAGAGCTTAACAGTGTTCAAAATACCTGTCTGCAGTCTGCAATTTGCAGATAGTTTTTCAAGATTGCAGAAGAAAAATGTATACAATCTGCAATTTTGCAGAAGGAAAAATTGGCACTTGGGATTGGCGCTCCTGGCCCCAAGGCCAGACAACACTGTTCTGAAACAACAGGAGCTTCTTCACTAATTTGCATCATCTTTGTCTTCACTGACATCTTTTGTTTCCTTTTGGACTTTGGTTTCACTAATTTGCATATCAGTCAATAGTTCATGCTTATAGAAGGATCTAATAATAAAGTCTGAAAGTATGAAATTAAAAAGAGTGATACATTCAACTTTAAAGAATTCCAGTAATGCTACAGATTTACAATTAAGCTATATATGATGTAAAGAAAGGCATTAATGGTTTGAGAAGGTTGTAGTATGGTGGCTTGTGTATTTGCAGGAAGTATTTCCAACTTGCAGAACAAAATTTTGACTCTTCTGCAATATTGCAGAGCACTGAAAAAAAGTATTTCGACCACTGGCTTAAGGTCAGGTGACAGTATTTTATATTACTAAGTACCATATAGTGTAACGCTTCACTACCAGTCACATTTGTCTGTAGACACATGGCTGGAAGCATAGTGGGCGACCCATGGAGCAGGATAAATTTGTAGCCTCCTTTGCAGACCTGTTGGGCGTTGGTGTAATTAATATATTTTTCTGTGACTGTGAGCGACGCAAGTAATATGCTGCGGAGGGACGATTTTACTGCCGAGGGAGTTCTTGCCGTGGAGAGAAGGTTTCGCGCTCCAACAACCTTCTCTCCACAGCATATTACTCGTGTCGCTCACAGAAAAAAAAATAAATAACGCCGACGCCCAAAAAGTCTGCGAAGGAGGCTAGATAGATTGCACATCAAAATGGAGTACAAGAGGCACTTATTTTCGTCTTCGTTTATGTTTTTAATTAATATAATATTTGCTCCCCATGAGACGCCCAATAAAGGAAGATGAGACTTATGTATTGGGACGGGTAATATCTAAGACGGCCTGCGTGGGGGGAGTAGTGGTTACCAATTACGCAAAATTTTCGCCACCAATTACTAGTACGAATTACGTTAAAACAGATACAGATACAGAAAATTCTCAGAGCTGATTACGACTTAACACTTTGTGGCTAATGTACTATTACGAATTACGTTCATTTTTGGGGAGGCTGCCTACAGATTACGAAAACTAAAAAGGCCTGATTACGCCGGGTTTACGGAAAACCCTGGCCTGTCTACCAGGCCAGTCTACCTTACCAGTCTACCTTGCCAGTCTAGGACGTCAGGCTACTGAACTCCCCCCATTCATAGCCTCACGAATGGCAAGGCGGCCAAGCAGCTGCGCCTCCTAGCGGAATTTATCTGAATTGCACCCACTACATTGACACGTGCATGCGAAACCTAACACGGCAAGAAATCTACCGGGGCGAATAACAAGATATCTCGCGGTTATTTGAGAGCGTGCGGGTTGGAGTCAACTTTTGACCCAAGTGAGCCCTGGAAGATTAGCCCTGATGGGCTAAAGGGTATCGCAATATACTAAACTAGTGCGGGGGCAGCATTTCCAAATGCCCCAATTCTGGACCCTTCGGCCTCAAAAAGTATTTAAAGCAAGGCAAAAGCAAACATGACAAAACAAATGTTTTTTTTTTCTTGACACATGCATGCAATTATATCTCATTCTTGTTTTCTTTTTCTTGCGTTCTTTTCTTATTAACGTTCGTTTTTTCATTAACACGTTCACTGTTCACACGTTACAAAATAAGGACAGCTGAAAACTTTTTGGCGAAGTATGTCAACAGTTTGGGGTGATGTTATAATGTTATAGAATATATATCTATGTATTGAAAGTTTATTGCAAATTCATGCCCGAGGGACACGATAACAACAAATAAACAGTTAGAGTTACAATAAGTATAACGTTCCATTGTGTATACTGGTTTCAGATGTGTTTTTTTCACAAGTCCGGACTTGGATCACCGGGTTTAGGTTTTATTTTGGACTTGAACCTAAACATGTTTACAAGTCCGGGAGTCGGTACGCAACACTGGTTTGTGTTAGCGGCCCCATAAGGAGAACCTGTCGCAAACCTGACTTATCACCGGTCTTATCTGTTTCAATTTAGCTATCTATCCCTGACCAGCTCAAATTTGATGACTGTGTTGGCGGCACACTGACAAGCGTAAAATTAGCTATTACTCCACATCCTGAGAACAACAGATGCTGTATTCATTCCCCCAACCCACAACACAGTCACACATTCCATAGAGAGAAAGTATTCTGTGGCCTTGGTGCCATGCGACGTGCAAGACCTTTTGTAACAAAAGAAATATTGAATATCATGTGTCAAACATTGTTGTTATCGCATCTAGACTACTGTGGCGCGGCGTGGTTGCCAAGTATTGTACAGGGTAGGAAAACACAAATGTTACAATTAGATAGACTGTTGTGTAGAGCTGCGAGGATTATCACAGGTTATACACTGCGGGATCATGTCCCAGTTGACAAGCTGTTAACGGAGGCTGGGATGGTGTCTCTGAGACATCGTACTTAAAAACTCAGTCTTGTTACAGTTTTTAATGCCGTGCGAGGTAAAGCTCCAATGTACATCTCTGACATGTTCAGGTGGAAGTCTCCACCGATCATAAGAGCTCGCACTCGCACGGCTGTTAAACTGTTTGCTGACTGGGACCCTCATCTGTTGAACTGCCCCGAAATATAAAGTTTGAACTGCTATAAAGGGAGCCTAAGATTCTACGCCCCCCAGTTATGGAAACAACGCCAAACTTTGGGAAAGGTAAAATTCAGTCAGGAATTGTGAAGCCATGAATGTATAGAGAGTTGAAAAAACTCTGTGTGATTTTTTTTATGTATATGTCATATTGATTGTGTTTTTCTTGTAACACAGTCTAGTATTTTGTACTATATATGCCCAGCACTGCCTGAAAAACAGGTTTTCATTCAACCTGAGTGCAGTTGCTGGTGAAATAAATAAACTGAAACTGAGATGACCTAAGTAATGTGATAACGTGGGAAGTTACTTGATGAAGAAAGAAAAGTGAACACCACATTCCCAGCTGAAGTAAAAAGTCATCAAACTACACATCGGTATTAAAACACGAACACAATTTTGTTTATTTCAAGTCCAGTATAAACAAATAAGTATTGCATGGTCATGAGAAATTGAGAAAATGAATACAAAATGTATTAAAGAGTGGTATAAAACAATACGCTAACACAAAGTTCTACTTCTACTATTGTGAATTAATAATGTTCGTATATGTGACAGAGAGGACATGAAACACATGGACAGGGTAATCTATCTGTATATTATGAACCATATTCTGTCCTTTGCGATGCATAATATTCAGGCGTTTACATGCTGGTAGTTGCCCCTGCGACATGCCCTTCTCCAGAAATACCTGACAGATGAAATTAATTTTATCCTACTGTAGCCTGTGAAACCCAGGCTCCGGGGACCACTTCGGAAGGGCCGGCCGCCAGGAGCGCGATTAGTCAGGTTAAACGATACCTATCTGTTAGTGTAGGATAACAAGATTATCTACAGATGTGCGGCACGGGCAATCCTGCCCCCACACTTAGGTCAAAAGTTCATTCCGACCCGCGCGAGGAAATTGGGCACATCAAACGTAACTGCCCAAATGCGCCCGGCACACGCCAAGGAAACGGTCCCAGACTGGCTTAGCGGGTCGTCGGCCAGTCTCCAAAACGGTAAAGACCCTTGCGCGACACCGACATACGAGTATGAATAAAGACCCACACCGGCAGTTTTCACCTTAGTGCCTTGGTAAATGACCGTCGTGTGGATGTGTTTAACTCTGGGGCCGACGTTTCGATGATCAGCCGGGACGCACTCGGAGTAACCGCGAGATCCGTTTCCCTGTTACCGTTGATTTCCCTTGGCTCATTAAAACTTAAAAAAGGGATTAAAACTTAAAAAAAGGATTAAAACTTCGATGAAGTATAATATCTTGTTATAATATCTTATTTCTATTCGACCCGGTAGATTTCTTGCTGTGTTAGGTTTCTGCACACGCACGTGTCAATGTAGTGATTCTGATACATTCCGCTAGGGGGCGCAGCTGCTTGGCCGCCTTGCCATTCGTGAGGCTATGAATGGGGGGAGTTCAGTAGCCTGACGTCCTAGACTGGCAAGGTAGACTGGTAAGGTAGACTGGCCTGGTAGACAGCCCAGGTTTTTCCGTAAACCCGATTACGCCTTACGAAAAAGGGCATGCAGGCCCCTATCCAGACTTGAACCCCGCTTTCCTGACTAGCGGTTACTTTTTAGTGCAAGCTGGAGAGTACTCCTGACCCTTCGCTGGCCTTAGGAAATTGAATCTCAAAATTGGGATAGTACTCAGAATGTGAAACTGGTTTGTCTTTAGACATACAAGGAACTGCCATTAGGGCCCCACCAAAGGGACCAGGGAGGAGGTGGGCACAAGTCTGTTTGTGGAAAAATCGACAGGACCCTAAGTTTTCCTCTTTTATAAGCCCAGTGACAGTTATTGTAACCAACGCAGAATTGTTAACCAACACATGACTCTTTAACTGACACTGATCTAAAGGACTATGTCCAGTGCCATTAAAATGTCGGCCTTGCTTTATACACGTTTTCTGAGTCGACTCAAGTTGTAACCTGATGATATTTTGCAACAGAGATGACAACACCAACTGATTAGGAATAACAGGACCTCATCTCATGACAGAAACCAATCCATAAAATAATATGGAAATAACATTATCATGACACTTGTGCCCACAGTATTAAAATTAAAATTATAATATAACGTTAATTGTATTTACCAGAAAAAAACAATAAACATGCCCTTACATTACAAAATTGACAGAGATAAAGCGAAAGATTGCATTGGTTTGAAGTTTCAGACTACATGTAACGTTACAAACCAATGATGCCTTTGGTCAAAATACAGTACAGTAACGTTGCAGCTGTATCTTCTTTGGTATCTCTGTGAACATTTTCAAGAACTGGCTGAGACTTGTACACGAGTGTAGAAACCACAAGGACAGGTACCATTTTAGGTTCACATACAGACTGACTACAAATGCACATGCGAGGATTTGCTACCGCCGTACAGAAAAAGCTGAAGAGCGGTCTCGTTACCGCTGGAAGTATCTATTGACCGACTACAAGGTAAGATTACAAGGTGAGATACAATACACAGTGATCTGAGATTTTGGAATCTAAGACTTACCAAAATCAGCCACTTGGGGCCTTCATTAACAAGCCAGTCGCCCATACTGCGCTGTTGGGTGTAGAGTGAGGATGTCTGTGCTGCTACGTGCCGCCAGTCGCTCCCTGTTGTTCCCCTGCCGTGTCACGACTACTCAGAACCTCGGTCCGCCCACAGCTAGCGCGCAACAGGCAACAATGCAGACTAATTATCTCAAGCCAACCCGCCGCGCCAGGAGAGGCGTTCCCAGAAATGTAACTGGATATATTGACTTTTGACTATGCAACACGCCCCAAGCAGAATAGTCGAGTCACCCCGCTGTGCCACACCATGACACGCATCCGGATTTCCGATATGACGGTAGATTTTTTCGGAGAAGTTCAGATCCGAGAAGTTCTGTGGAAGTCAGAAAGTCACTTCCGGTATCAAAGTGTTTGGGGGAATCGTCTATTATAAAATAGGGGTGTTAAGGGTAACATTTTTAATTGTATACCATTTTTCTACCGTGACAGACGAGGAATACCTGTTATTTAGCAGAAGACAAGCTGAAACACGCGAAAGGTAATGTTTTATTCAATCGTTGACAAGAACGCGACCTGGTAAAACCACTGGAGTTGGTATGATCATTCTGTGGTCTAAGTGACATTGGCAATATACTACAAATCGACAGAGGGCGCTGTTATTCAGCTCTCTTCGCCACTGCACCTGCCAGACGCATCCTTGAACCTACTATCGAGGTCTGTGCGTTCTCTGAGTTGGATAAATCAGAACGTCTTGATACATATTGGAGTTTTTGCCTCTAGCAGGAGTACCTACACAACTTGTACTCTGACTCTTGAAAATGGACTTTTCCATCTAATGTGGGGACTTACACCGAAATAAATAAATAAACACCGATAGAGTTGCCAGCAAGGTAGTGTTCGCCAGTCTTGTTGATGTGTCATTCAGCACTAGGGGCAGGGACACCAGTAATGCATTGTTGGTGTGACATTCAGGGACACCAGTCTTGTTGATGTGTCATTCAGCACCAGGGACAGGGACACCAGTCTTGTTGATGTGTCATTCAGCACCAGGGACAGGGACACCAGTCTTGTTGATGTGTCATTCAGCACCAGGGACAGGGACACCAGTCTTGTTGATGTGTCATATTCAGCACCAGGGACATGGCGGCGAGACGCTCTGGGCGATCCTCTACCCCGGGACCCAGAGCCTCAGCAGCAGGCACAGGCTCCGGAACGGAACATTCCGGAAAAGGGGGCCACCAGCTGAGGAGCGGAACATTCCGGAAAAGCAAGCACCGGAACGGAATATTCCGGGACAGAATGATCACCCTCCAGTAATGAAACTTGCGGAAGTGCAGGTACATGCTCCCATGCGGAACATTCCGGAACTGCAAAGCGAAATTCTACAACCAGGTCTAGACTACCAGTGGTTTGGAGATGGGAATGACATTCTCCTTCAGCCACTGTAGGTCAAGATCAAGTTTACTTTGTCACAAGACTGTTATTGTTTTTGGTGCGTTCTGTGATTCCTTCCATGGAAAAGCAGTTACTAGTGCAGACAATTATGTCTTTTTGGGTAAAGTCTACTCTGTACAACAATATGTATACTTAAAACTAAACGCTAACTTTATCATATAGGTATTAGATTTCTCTTGCACTAATATATATTGGAATTTCATTTGTATTCTATATATACCCCCAGGCTTTATTGTTTTCGAATTTTCTTGTTACAGGCTTTTAGAATGGTTTTATTCTGTTTTTATGTAGGACTTTATTGACACAACAAAAGCACATCGAATTTTGTAATGTCCTTAACTACATGTAGACATACAGACAGAAACGTGGGTACAAAAAAATTGACCTACAAAATTAAAACAATAGATGAATCATCTTATACTACTTGATCTAAGGTCTAAACATTCTTTGATAGTAAGGGATATTACCTTCTAGAATGAAAATGCATTTATCTATAGCTTGAAATGTAACAAATTTCGTTGAGCAATCAGAAAAAAAAGGTGAAACAATTGTGCGTTTATCATCATACAGTGGACAATCCATAATAAAATGTTGTTCGTATTTAATCTTATTAGGACAGAATGGACAAAACCTCTGGTTTATTTGGGCTTCTTTGCTGTGTTATAGGTAATGTACTATAGCAGTGTGATACCACATTCGGAGTGTGACCACTTTTAAACGAAATAAAATATTCAAAAATTACACTTCTAATGAAGGTTTAAAATTGCAATCATACTCCAATGTTGAGCACAAGCTTACCATGTTTAACATATCCATGGCAAGTTATGGTAGGGTAAGTTAAAGTATAAACCACTCATCAAGACATACCAGAAGAAGCCACGTTACTCACGTTTAAATGCCCTGAAATATACGGGGACGAGGTATGTAATTTTGCACAAAGCTGAGTGAGCGTCACAATTGCAATAATTTCATAGAAGTACCAATCTTCCTATCTTCCGATGTCTTTATGATTCCCAAATGTCACGCGAAAAGACAAAAGCCTGCCTCTGAATCCCCCTACTTGTTGATAATGACGGTCCGGAGGGATATCTCTAACCCGATCTGGCACGGAAACCAGCTATCTAACGTGTAATAGAGTAGACAAGAGCCAGGTAGGAAGGTCTCTACTAGCTCATCCAATTTGGCCACAGCAAGTAATTTTTATGGATGATATCAGTGCGCGCATTAATTTTCGCCTGATTTTGGGGAAAAACCATGCCGAAAATGGGCAAAGATGTCTGTTGCCATGCCGGAAGGTGGATGGAAGATAACTATATATATATAAAGAGTGGAGATAAGAAAAGGCTCTGATTTGATGTTTTGTTTCTTACTTTGATGCAGTGATATGTGATGTTGGCTGTGTATATGTGATGTTCTCACTGAATGAAAACCATTTGTATAATAATTGAGTCAAAATATTAAAATGTAAGAACCTTGTTTTTTACGCCCGCTCGCATTAGATTTGGAGTCTGCGGAGGATGTCATCCATAAAATTTCCGTGTTCTGGCCTTACTGACCTGTCATTCCCGGCTTGTGTGGACATTCCGGGTCCTACTGCAGGCCTTCCATTCACACCGCTTCTGTAGTTTGGCGTCGGACGAGGAAAATAAGACTTCCAGCTCTACGGATTTGTCTTCAGATTTCCGAACCGAAGGAATTCCAGTTGACTGACGAGCACATGTAGTACTGCGGCACCTCCCTGTACCGACTGACGGTGTTTGTACCTGTCTGGACTCAGCAATAACAAGTACTCAGTACGTAACAATGTAAGTACTTTATTTATTTGACGGTACTGTTGCCTTAATTTCTATAGTTTTTCTTTTATGGCTAGGAACTTTTAAAGGAGGTCCTCATACTAATTTTTTTAAGGAAAAAATTATATCTCCTACAAGATTCTACGCCTCTCGTAGGGGATCTATAATTCGCACGTGAGCCTTATATTATATTAAGCGGTCCAATATTGGTAAGATACGAATTAGTGCCTGACACGCACACACACACACACACACACACACACACACACACACACACACACACACACACACACACACACACACACACACACACACACACACAGACAGACACAAGCACACACACACACACACACACACACACACACACACACACACACACACACACACACACACACACACACACACACACACACACACACACACACACACACACACACACACACACACACACACACACACACACACA